ATTCTCGTGACGGTAGAGATAATATAATGTCAATGTCTGCGGACAATAAGCAGTCGCTCATTGATTACTTGAGTTGTGTGCCAAAAGCGCTGTGCATTGAAGACATCGGGGATCTGTTTTATTTGGTGGAACAGCACTACGTCTCCCGAACACCGCATTCAATCAAAGTATGAGATGTTGTTTTTTTTGCTGTTTTTTTCTTGCGGTACACTTAAGCCTTGTTTTGTGTGTATTTTGTTGTTTTGCTATACAATTACAGTGTAGTTAAGCTCTCGATTGGATTCATTGGCTGAAAAATTATTAATTGATTTGAAACGATAGGATTAATTGTGTTATAAATGAATTATCAGTCATTTTCTTTGCGAGCGAAACATAATCTCTAGTTTTAATCGTATTATTTGTCGCAACAATGCATTACTCTTTCGCCGCTTTTATATTTGATATAATGATTGTATCGACAAATGATTGCTTCGGAATATCCATTAATAATTAGTGAGAGAAATATCTATATATTTATTTGATATAATAATAATCGAGTTCTTCGTATGATTTGATCCGTTAATTGTCTTTATTTTTACTTTATATCATTCTTCTGACCAACAATTGGGTCAACGCTAAGACACGCAGAGAAGTGATAGCTATAGCTCTTTGACAGCAATAATATCTTATGAAACACTACTACTACTAGTTTTTTATTGCCTTTTTTATGGCTTTCACCCGAAGCGCGGGTGTTATGTCTCAGTCTCTGTCTCTGATTATGATATATAGTATGTTTGCCTCTAATGTTTGTCCGAGTATTGTATTTAATGTGTTATTATATTTATGTATGTTATATACCGGTGCTGTCATATTGTTGGCTGCGATGAACACAACCAATATATCTATAATATAATACTGTTTTATACGACATTACAGGCCCTGCAGTCCCTCCTATTCCAGGCGTCGGAACCGTTGGAATGTGAGCCACAAATCACCGATTTATCGCATATGCTGTGTCTTCCAGTGCCGGTCAGCGACCTCTTGCCGGCCGCCGCCTCCCCGGCCGTCAACTCTGTGCGCTATTTCTGTGTCGACTGTCGACCCGCCGAACAGTATAACAGCGGACATCTCTCAACCGCTTTCCATTTGGACTGTTCTCTCGTAAGCGAAACATTAGATTTATATGAAACCACTTGAGCTCTCCCTCTCACCCATCCATCCATTCCACTCTCCCTTTCCTCCAACGCAACAGTCATTAATTACAATCACTTATAATTAAATTCTCATATGTTTGTCGTCTCTCTCTCTCTCTCTCTCTCTCTCTCTCTCTCGTTATCTATTAATTTGAGCTCTACTTAACTTACGAGACGACGAGAAAACAAAAGAGAATACGAGAAGAAAATAAAACAAAACAAAAGTTAATTTCATTTCAATTATTTCTAATTAATTTTGACAGCTATTGGAAGAGCCGTCCGCTTTCAACACCGCAGTGAAGGCACTGTTGGCCGCACAACGACAGGCCATCGACGAGCAATCGGTGGCCGGCGGACAACACCTGTGTTTTATCGGCAGCGGTCGCGACGAAGAGGACCAATACGTTCATATGGTTGTCGCCTCATTCCTCCAGAAACACCACCAATACGTGAGTCTGGCGTTCGGCGGCTACGAGTGGTTACACCGACTGATTGTGGCGAACAGCGAGTATACCGGCGCTCTCACCGATCATAACCGGAAACAGTGTATCGCTTGCGTCAAAGACAAAGACAGCAAATCCGTCCGAAACGGATCCAAGTCGTCGTCGCCGTTAACGGCCGGCGCCCTATCGGCCGATGTCGAGCACTTCACGAGCGCGCTGTTGGACAAAATGGCGAACGCCGTGAAGCCCAAGTACAAGGAGATGAAGGACAAACTCGTCGATTACGTCACTAATCCTAATCAACAACAAGTGGTCCGACACGTGAGCCCTTCCGACAAATTGGGCAAAAGATATAAAGCCTTTAATCGGTTCACTATCGATGAGGATCTCGAGTCAGGCAAGTGTTTGACAATTATAGTACTAAACCAGTGTTAAAGGCTTGACAAACAAACGCTCGACATGTCAGTCGGTGTCTGTGTTGTTGTGTCCATCCGATGATCAATCAATTTGTTTATTATGTTTAACACATTGAATACGATATTAGTCTCACACTTATGGCTAACCAAACATAGAGATGAATATAGTTATGAATAGCTTTGCATAATATTTATGGAGATTTTTCTATTGATATTTATGATGACATTCTTTAGGCATAAGAATTGTGTGAATCAATTGAGAGGACAATCGACAAGAAAAAACTTTTTTGTTGGTCTTGTGTTGCGAAACGCATACATAAGAGACTCTTTTATCCCAATCTATTTAGTGGTAATCCCGGAGCTCACCAGTGCTCTGCTCTGCTCTCTCGTGTGCGCCCAGAGCTGACCAAACAGTTTATTTGTTGCTTAAGCCCCACAACTAATTCCTCTAAAGTTTGTTGTGTCAGTACTCCTATAGACAGCTATACACTGGCAGTGAAGGCACTCTTAAATGAATATAAATGACTGCCAAAAGAGGAGTTCATTGTGTCGATCAAACTCTTTAGACGCGGAGAGAGAGAGAGAGAGAGAGAGAGGTCTTTAAGAGTTAAAGTCAATTGAATTGAATTAGTTTTTCATTGATTTCTGTCTTTCGCTTTATTTTTTAGCGAAGAAAAAACGACATATAATTCAATAAAACGTTTTTCCAAATCAAAAGAGTTTATCAAAAAATATATATATAACTTATACTTTGATCTAATTATTCGTTTGAAATGACATTTTCAATGCATTGAATTATTAGCGTTTCTCTCCTTTCATATTAATCTCTTTGACAAAAAAACACAACAAAAAAATTTAATCAATTTATTGCCTAAAAATTTATTTATTGTTTTTTCTCTCGTTTGCTGTCTCTGTCTTCAGACGGTTTAGAGTCGGATTCAAACGACGAGTCGCTGCAGGAGATAGACGTAGAAAAGTGGTCAAAAAGTCCCGAAATTATCGGTTGTTTCAAATGCCAAGAGATCAAAGATGACGGCCATATGTGCGCCAGGTTTGTGTCCATTCATATACCTCGTGTTAAACACCCTAATGATGACAAATACCATGTTTTCATTGCCATAACAGTTATTTAGCGCTTTCAAACACACATCTGTTTGTATTGCGAGAGTTGTCGCACAACAAGAATTTGGCCAAAATTATGGCCAAACGGCCGCTGGAGATGATCTACCAAATAAAACAGATCCCCGATGTCTTCAATGCACAGCGCTTTTGGCACACAACTCAAGTAATCAATGAGCGACTGCTTATTGTCCGCAGACATTGACATTATATTATCTCTACCGTCACGAGAATGGGGTCACAGAATCGGCAATAAAAGCGATACAAAAAATAAATAAATTTAATTACAATTATAGGTGCGAATCGTGAGTTAAATACAAAATATTTACAAATAAAAAAGTTAAATAACAATTTGAAGCCAAGCATATCATGGGCTGCAAAACGGAAACTCACTTTTCGTTGACTAGCATTACGAGTGCGAGAAAGTAGATGAGGAATGGGTTGCCTAATGAGAAGTATGTGTCCCAAAGGGCCAGAGTTACCGAATGATTGCAATGGCCTGAGAATAGGCTCCGGAACTAAATCATGGCATAAATTGATACAAATCAGCGTTCGGTTAATAAATAGATGCAATTAATACAGAGAAATCATTCATGTTTTAAATATTTATACCGGTAAATTAAATAATGAAAATTTAAACGTATAAAAAGTTCCAAAAAAAGTTCCAAAAAAAGTTATAACTTAAATCAAATAAAATTACTTTTAGTAAAACCCAACCTAATCTCACATCCAATAAAATAAAGTTCAAAGCTAAAAAATTATGTGCAAAACATAATATTATACTCAAAATTAGAATTATGCTAAATCCGTGTCATATTATTAATATGAATGAATTAATGAATATCGTATTTTAATAATAAAACAAGTTTAAGCCCTAATTATCGTAATTTAATAGCCATTTTAATAAAACCTTATTTATTAGTCATTAAATAGCAATAGTATAATTATCTCATCACTGAAAATGATTTGAATGCAAATTATTATCACTTTTCATAATAATCAGTAAGAAAGACAACTTTCAACCCAAGAGTCTGTTACTATGAGACCAGTTATTGGTCATCAATTGTAATAACTAATCGCAATAAATCACTATCAATACTCACAACACAAATGTAACATTAGTTTTAAACTAAATTAAAAGTAGAAAGAGTGAGAGAGAGAGAGAGAGAGAGAGAGAGAGAGAGA